GCTACCCACTAAGACATGCCCTTCTTCAGTGAAGCTACCCACTAAGACATGCCCTTCTTCAGTGAAGCTACCCACTAAGACATGCCCTTCTTTAGTGAAGCTACCCACTAAGACACGCCCTTCTTTAGTGAAGTTACTTGCTAAGATGTGTTTCCATAAACATTTCAATATTACCAACATCAAAATCAGAGAAAGAAAAAATAAAAATGTAGTAGCATAGTTTTTGGGAAGATGGCAGTGTGGTAGTGAGATCACAGATCATGATAAGGACATGCAGAAGGTTTAATCTCTTTAATTATAGTCACTGGCAGCTTCTTAAGATTTCCTCCAGCAACTTAAGATCTTAATCGCCCCATCAGCAGTAGGTCCTCATTCTATCCCAGAGTGCCCCACTTTCCCTCGACACTGTACCCCACTAACCAGCTGTCCCATTGAATAGCTTGACAACACTGAGCATCACATGAGACAAAACAGGGCTGGAGCGCCCTCTACCAGACCTGGTGGGAAGGGCAACCACTCAATTAGTGTGACAAGCTCGGGTCGACTTAATGTGGGCAAATCTGCCTTTGACCGATTTTGCAAATAAACCCAAGAAGAAACATCCATCTTTCTCTCGATGATGTTAATTTTGGTACAAAGCTACCAGGTTGCTACTCTAATTAGTCTAAGTCTCCATGCCTCTTCAATTTTGAGAGAGAGAGAGGGGTAAGGAGCACACTGATACAGCTTGTTGCTGTAGCCACCAGACGACGAATGATCTCAGGGATGAGAACCCAAGAGCAGTGCTGAGGTATCACCTGCCTCAAATGGAATGGAACAGTGTGAAGTTTTTTTCCAGTGGCTGGAGTGCCAATCCAGCATCAATTTTGGGTTCCTCCTTTTCTTTATGACAGATCTGCACCTCCAGTTCTAAGTCTACCTGGTGGTGCCTCCTGACCAGCATTCTGGGTCATAGTGATGTGATTATTTGTAAGACCTCCTGTTCCTGCTCTGCTTAGGGGAACTCCAGTTCTGGACACATAGTCCCTGGAGATTATGTGGCATGACTGACCCCTACATTCATTTAGCTTATCCATCTCCAGCCAAACTCAGTCAAACCTAATACAGCCCCAATCCCCAAAGCAGTCTGCTCTCCACAGGATGAGGGTCACGTCTCACAATCCTGGGGCAATAGGAGCCACAGAGTCATGCTGAGCAAGATAATCTGAAAGTCACCTGTGTCAGTTACTATGAAGACCCGCCCTATGAGGCTGTTATCAGCCTGTGTATCTGGGGTGCATGAAGAGTAGGCCATACGTCCTCAGTCTTTCTGTGAGCAGGACTCTGTGTGGAGGTCATATCTTAGTGGGCAATTTCCCAATGGGTAATTTCACTGAGGAAGGGCAGGTCTTAGTGGGCAACTTCACTGAAGAAGGGCATGTCTTAGTGGGTATTTACACTGAAGAAGGGCATGTCTTAGTGGGTATTTTCACTGAGGAAGGGCATGTCTTAGTGGGTATTTTCACTGAGGAAGGGCATGTCTTAGTGAGTAACTCCATGGAAGAAGGACATATGTAAGTCATTAACTCCACTGAAGAGGGGTACATCTAACTGGGTAACTGCCTTGAAGTAAGATTCTTCTAAGTGGATAATTGCATGGTAGAAGGGCACATTCTAATGGAGAAAACACACAGTGCTTAGTGGTTACCGTAATGGCTGCTTGTGGGCCTGGGTTGGAATGTCCTACTCGCGTGAACCTCCCTAAAAAAAAACACACAAAATGCCACAAGTAAACACTAATACTCTAACTTCCAGGGGAGGACAGAAAATCCAGCTTTCGGAAGTTAAACTTTCTGAGAGTTTGCATGTCTCCAGGAATTACATTTGCTGCGTAACTGACACCTTGATCTGAAGCATCTGACAAATTCAAGTGGATATTTTACTGGAGTGAAAAAAAGTATTTGCTTTCAGGTTACTGCTTCTGGATTTGTCTCTCCATTTGAACCTGCAACTACAGACTTCCAATAAATAAGTTTCTTGTAATACTTCAGGGCTAATGTTTCCATATCCTGGAATGGCATCATTCATCTTGAGATTACAGTTAAGCTCAGCTGAGTAGCCTTGTGGTTAAGACCCTGAGGATACAGGAAACCAACCTAAGCGTGTGGTAAAGCTTCCTTTATTCACACAACATTAACTGGCCTCTGGAATTAGGGCTTCCTGTCCTGCCTTTCAGTGGTATTGGGGTCTCTGGACTCACAAGCAGAGAAACTCAGTGCCACGAAGGGGTGACTGAGCCACATCATGCCTGGTACAGTCTATACCAGGGGTGACTGAGCCATGTTATGCCTGGTACAGTCTATACTGGGAGTGACTGAGCCCAGTTATGCCTGGTACAGTTTATACTGGGAGTGACTGAGCCCAGTTATGCCTGGTACAGTTTATACTGGGAGTGACTGAGCCCAGTTATGCCTGGTACAGTTTATACCTGGGATGTCCAAGTCACATCATGCCTGGTACAGTCTATACCAGGGGTGACTGAGCCACATCATGCCTGGTACAGTCTATACCAGGGGTGACATGCCTAATGCAGTCTATATCGGGAGTAACTGAGCCACGTCATGCCTGGTACAATCTATTCCGGGGCTGACTGAGCCACATCATGCCTAATACAGTCAATACTGGGAGTGACTGAGCCACATCATGCCTGGTACAGTCTATACCGGGAGTGACTGAATCACGTCATGCCTGGTACAGTCTATACTGAGAGTGACTGAGCCACATCATGCCTGGTGCAGTCTATATCGGGAGTGACTGAGCCAGGTCATGCCTGGTATAGTCTTTACCGGGATGACTGAGTCACATCATGCCTGGTACAGTCAATACCGGGAGTGACCGAGCCAGGTCACACCTGGTTCAGTATATACCAAGTGTGACTGGGCACAAATATAATTGTATTTGAAATACTTTTGTGAATTGGGCCAGTGGTGAGCACGGCGTTGCCTCTGTGCTTCCCTGGTCACGAGTAGCGAAGGAGAAGGAAATGGGAGCACAAAGCTGGGAGTGAAAGTGACGTGAGTGGGGGGGTGGCTGTGTGTGAGAGGGAGGTGGAGAGAGAGGGAGGGAGCGGGAGATCAAGTGAGAGAGAGAGAGTGTGTGAGTGTATTAAACTCCAGCAGGGGTAGGGGGGCAGTGACAGTGTCAGTTTTCTTCTCATTGAGACCCTGGTAAGTACCCCCCCGGCAGACACCCTCGCAGCAGTGAGCTCCTGCACGGTAGGCAGCCTTCTCCCGCACGTGCGAGTGCCAGTGCCAGTGTGAGAGTGCGCGGTTGCCAGTGTGAGAGTGCGCGGGTGCAAGCTTGCCTGTATTGTGTGACATCGCCGGGCCATGCAGCGTTTCGGGGGGCATTAGGGTTATACAGGAATGGCATACTGACTGACTGCTGGTGTGTAAACTGTGGGGTCTGTGCAGATTGATTGCTGAAGTTGTCTTGTTGATAGAAGCTAATTGATTGAGTTCTGTGCCATGAGGTCTGGGGTCTTTTTGGAGGGGTGCTGGACGCTGGACAGACGGGCCGGTCTGCTTGCTCACCCCTGCGTTTCTTAGCCCTTCTCCGGCGTCCGATTCCCCCCTGCCCACCATGCCGGAAAACTTTGAAATTGCTGTCCGTGAACAGCTGTCTTTACGAGATGCAAAGACACATTGCTGTTAAAAAAAAAAACGCATCAGACCCAGCCCAGAGACCCCCCCCCCCGGCCTGTGGAGAGCAATAACCTTGAGGAGACTTGTGCCATAACTTAATGGAGCTCCGTAATCTGCTTTGGTCTGCCCCACTTGTGGGTCAGTGCTGTGTCACTGGCTGCGGGCTGCTAATCTTCCGAACTGACAGCGACGTCTGAGTGGGAGACTTTCAGAAGCCACTGGGATCTGCACAAGTGACTCGGGTGCCATTTAAGGCATAGATACAAGCCTGATTAATTTAATGTGTTTAATAATGTGATGTGTGACGGCTGGAGGTCGCATGCTGCTGGATGTGAGCCCGGATTTGTGAAGATTGCAGTTTGGTTTCCGTACCTGATCCATCTTTCAATTCACACTTGAAACCCATAAAAATTGTACGAAACAAGAAGTAAACTTTCTCGCCTTCATCTGCACAAGTCTGCATTTAGGCTCATGCTGCTGACACTTTGCACATTAGGTGGCGCTCTTCACCTCTCCCAGGGTAGCGCCCCGTTTGCCCCACAGTGCATCCGCGCGCAGCTCTGATGGGGCTTTGTGGTGTGTCGCACAGCGAGGGATGTCACTCATCACCTTGGCCTCACTTCAATTATTGATGAGCGACATGGCAGGCCGGGTGTTTGAGGTGCAGTCGGATGCAGCCGCCCCCAAACACAAAATCGCAGCCGCTTTGCCGTCACAGAACGACCGCGGGATGTGAATGTGACCTGAATGGGTGTTACCAGTGGTGTCACCAGTGTCACCAGTGGCGTGTCTGTGGCCAGGGAAGCTGACCAGCAGCGCCCGAGGGCTCACACAAGACAACCAAAAGAAAGACGTATCAGACAATTAAAATTTACTCTACTGAGTAAAGCTCATTTTTGCCTTTTTAAAGAGTGATTAAATTTTTTATACTTCATTCGTCACTTGAAGATACAAGTACGCAGATATTCTCCATGCCTCTGGTTATATAACTGCAAGTAGTAAAACTTCACTTGCCGATACCCTCATTAAACATAAAATATATGCATGTTTATGGCATAAAATATAAATGTACATACAAGCTGTTATCAATTTAGTGATTACCCAAATAAAGTTATTGCTATTTTTAAAATGCATCCATTAAATGGTTAGCTGTTTTTGCACCGAGGCTGTTTATTGATGTAAATAATTAAAAAGTAACCTGAATCATACATTTTTGTGGGTCTCACTTGATAATTATCAGTTACTGCAGGTCCTTAATGAAATGATACAAGGACCATAATGAAATTTATATTGCTCATTAAAGCTCGTCGCTTTAACTGCTGAAGTGAAGTAAAAGCTTAAATCTGCAGGTATAAACCTCACTGTGGGTGACGAGCGCATAGCAGACGCACCACTGGAAATGAACCAACAAGATGGTTATAATCTTTAATGAAGTCTGGCCATCAAAACATTGCATCATTCCATCTCTGGTCCTTCGACCACGGTTGTGCTCAGGATATTAAAATGTTTGAAGCCATCCTGGTTACCAGTGAACAAAAATCATATCCTCTGTTTCCCAATCATTACCCCTCCCACTCCGCCTCACCGTCAGCATCTGAGGGAATATACCTTTGTTGTCTTCACTGTATATCTATTTGCTTTTTTAATCTCTCTTTCCTGCCCCCCCCCCCGGAGGCAGGTTCCTCTCCCGCCTTTCTCCCTCCCTGCCTTTCTCCCTCCCTCCCTCTCTCTGTCTGTCTTAAGCTGATTGTTTCCATATGAATGGAATGTTGCCGGATCATTCTGCAGGGTTCTGAGTCTGTGACACGGCTTTCTGTACGGCCACACGGCCCGCTCCCCGTTTCCGGGCCCCGGTGACACCCCAGCACTTTGTTTTCACGCCTGATGTCACTGGCCAGAATGAGATGAGTTAAGAAAAACCAGTTCCATGTTTTTTTGATGGGCCACAACCTGAAAGTTATCTATCAGGAAACAGAAAAAACATTGAATTCCTGAAGCTATCAGGATACCGCCTTCCTCCTGGCTCCAATGGACCCTCACCCTTCATCCTGTTACGGCCTTTTCAGGTCTTACCGTAGCTTGTTTTTCCTCATAACCAGTTAATTTATATTCTGTTTACCATTCAAATTTGTTTGGGGTGATACATGGCCACAGGCATCACAACAAACAAGCAAGTCAAGGAAACAAAAATGATTAAATCTGTTCCAGCAGGACCCCCCAGGTCTAGGGGCTCAGCTTTATGTGGAGTATGCTGGGATGTTAGTCTTGCTGTTCCCCACTTGTTCATCACTGTTAACTGACTGTTGCAGGCATGCTTCCTGTTATGACAAGGCCTTAATGTCTCAGTACTAATTCACTGATGGTTTATTAATATTCTGATATTTCAGGGGTGCCGTAAATGTATTTATCAATAAACATATGAAGTTAAACTTGTATAGGAGTGGCTTTGGATGAAGGGGTCTCTTGGGCACTGTGAAGCGGATTGACATTGGTGCTGGGTGTGCAGGAGTGACCCCTAGTATGCTTTGTGTGTCTCTGCAGTGTGAGAGGTGGAGTCAGCCTGCCCCCAGCCAAGCCATTCAAACACAAGGGATTCCTCCATCTCACCCCAAAAAGTCACAGGCATCCAGGCCTCCATCTTGGGCTCTTGGCACAACCGCCCACGCCCTCTTCCCCTGATGGGCACCACCGTGGCCGCCAGATTTCCACAACTGCTGCTCACATCACAGCTGTAACGAACCACCGAAACCATGGAGATGAAGCAGCCAATGATGACACAGGAGGAGTGCAAGACAGAGGGCGGGGGCCATGAGGAGGCGCAGGAAAACGGCCGGCTTATGGCGGATGGTGTAGCAGAGAAAGGGCCAAAGGCCAGCCCGCAGTCAGGGCAGGTCTCCAACGGCTACCCTGCTTCCTCACCCCAGAGCCCTACTGAGGCCTGTACCGGCAGTGGGGGGGCTCCCAGAACCCTGGTGGTCCAGCAGACTAGCTTAGAGCTCCCCCGTGAGACCTGGAGCAAGAAGATGGACTTTCTGCTCTCAGTGGTTGGGTATGCTGTAGACCTGGGCAACGTGTGGCGTTTCCCCTACATCTGCTACCAGAATGGAGGAGGTGAGGGAGGAGGCAGCACTCAGTTGGTCAGTTACACTCAGTCAGTCAGTCGGTTGGTCACAGTCAATCAGAAATTCACAGTTAGTCATAATCAGTCACAGTCAGTCTCAGCACAGTCACAGTTACAATCACGGTCAGTCACAGTCAGTCAGTCGGTTGGTCACAGTCAATCAGAAATTCACAGTTAGTCATAATCAGTCACAGTCAGTCTCAGCACAGTCACAGTTACAATCACGGTCAGTCACAGTCAGTCAGTCGGTTAGTTACAGTCAGTCACAGTCAGTCGGTCACAGTCAGCCAGTCTATCACATTCAATCATAGACAGTCAATCACAGACAGTCACATACAGTCAGGCAATCACATTCGATTACAGTCAGTCTGTCAGAGTCAGTCAGTGTCAGATAGTCACAGTCAGTCAATCAGTCAGTCAGTTACAGTCAGTCACAGACAGTTAGGTGATGACATTCAATCAAAGTCAGACTGTCAGAGTCAGTGACAGACAGTCGTCATAGTCAGTCAGTCAATGACATTCAATTACAGTCAAATTCAGTCAGTCACAGATGGTCGATCACATTCAATTAGAGTCAGTCAGTCAGTCAGTCATAGTCAGTCAGTCAATCATATTCAATCAGTCACAGTCCGTTAGCTCATGTTCCTATCACTGTCCCATTCACTTACTCAGCAGGCTTTCATTTTTAAACTCCCTTGTTCTCCAGGTGCATTTCTGCTGCCCTATCTGCTGATGGCGGTGTTTGGCGGGGTGCCCCTGTTCTACATGGAGCTGGCATTGGGCCAGTTTCACCGAAGTGGCTGCATCTCAATCTGGAGGCAGATCTGCCCCATCTTCAAAGGTATGATGTGCAGCTCCATGGCTGTCATCCACCTAAAGGCCCCCATACCCAACCCAGCTAGACTTCCTCCCTTTGTTATGAAATTGTCACATTTGCTTGTCAAAATGCCAGCTGGATCCAAGCTAGCGATGGACAAAATAATGCTTCATGAACCATTTGCAGAATTTTTGACCCCACTAGATGGTGCTCTTGGTTTGCTTTGAGGCATGCTTTGAACCGTTTTTTTTTTTTTAACATGCAGCGCCATCTAGGGGGGACAAAAATAAAAGCTAATCGTTTATGAAGCGTCATTTTGTCCATCACTAGTCCAAGCGACTCCCACAAAATGCCATTCCGGTGAAATTCTTGGCTTAGAATTGCAAAAGCATGACGTGACCCCCCCTGCCTCCCTCTTCACAGGAATCGGATTCGCCATCTGCATCATCGCCCTCTACATCGCTTTCTACTACAACACCATCATGGCCTGGGCGCTCTACTACCTGCTATCGTCCTTCAGCTCCATGCTGCCCTGGAGCACATGTGGCAATGCCTGGAACACCGCCAACTGCACCCGCTACACCTTCACCGACCGCAACGTCAGCTGGAGCGACCACTCCATCTCCCCTGCCGAGGAGTTCTATACGTAAGTGCATGTAAGTGAGAGGAGTGTTAGTGCAGTGAAGATAGAATGGGGGGGGGGGCAGTCAGGCAGAAGCTCCAGGGATCACCACGACGAAAAGGATGCAGCTTCGTCCCGCAAGAGCAGAGCTGATGGCTTGTCCTTCAGCAAGGCACTTAATCTCAATGGCTCCAGCTCCAGATAACGTCAGTGAGGATGGATGGATTTGACAGCTGTATGCATTTCTGGATGATATCATCCAACGAACGAATATGCAAATCAGAGACATAAGCGCAGGCGAGGGGGCAGGCTGTCAGCCGCACCGTTGCACGCCGGCACATCAAAGGCCGGCCTGCCCTATCATCCCTCCGTTTCGCCGTTCTGCTCGCGAGACGCTTGTACTTATCAGCTGGACTTCGAGAGGCATTTCCAGCTTTGTGGAGGTTTATCCTTTGTTCTTAGTTTTCGTCACTGCTCAAAGGCCTTCGCTCTGTCCATCTTGCTGTGTGTTCTTATCCTTCACACCGTGTATAAGCTCTGATTTCTCGCTCAGTTCCCTGCCTCGCTGCAATGAATTGTCTTGTTTGGTGACATCATCCGCACCCTCTCCCCACCTACCCACCTCTCTGTCAGTAGCTGCTTTCTTTGTTAAGCCCCTCCCCTGTAGCCATGGCTCCTCCCACTAACTCAGCCACTCCCCCTCTCGTGGTACCCTTCTCGTCTCTCATCTAGGAGACAGGTGCTGCAGGTCCACCTCTCCTCAGGACTGCACCAGTTGGGCGCAGTCAGCTGGCAGCTGGCACTCTGTCTGCTGTTCATCTTCACCGTGGTCTACTTTAGTATCTGGAAGGGGGTCAAAACCTCCGGCAAGGTGGGCTACACATGTGGAGGGGCGGGGCCTGTAATGGGGGTGGAGTTATTGAACTGGGGGCAGGGCTGGCACCCTTTCAGCAGTGGTAAGGCCTATCGGTCTCCCTCAGGTCGTGTGGGTGACGGCCACCCTGCCGTATGTGGTGCTCGTGCTGCTACTCATTCGAGGGGCCACCCTGCCCGGTGCCTGGAGGGGCGTGGTCTACTACCTGAAGCCTGATTGGAAGAAGCTCCTTAGTACCACGGTGAATAATTGAAGGGACTGTGAAGACTTATGTCCATCTCAGTCTCATTACAGTCAGATTAATAGCTAAACGTGTCTGTCTTTCTGCTGGCCCACACTTTGAAGTTACTGCCATATGCTCTTGTGCCTCAGGTCTGGATAGATGCAGCAGCACAGATCTTCTTCTCGCTGGGACCTGGCTTTGGAGTCCTCCTAGCCTACGCCAGCTACAACCCCTTCCACAACAACTGCTACAAGTAAGATGGATTCGCTTGCTAGTGGCATTAAAACACATCCAGAATCAAGCTGACATTTTCTGAGTGGACATAAAGTGATTTGTAATTGAGTGGTTCTGTCGCTCTCTCTTTCTGTACCCCCCCCCC